TCTCCCTCTGTGTGTGTGTTTGTCTCTCTCCCTCTGTGTGTGTCTATCTGTCACTCCCTCTGTGTGTGTGTCTGGCTGTCTGTCTCCCTCCCTCTCTCTCTCTCTGTGTCTGTCTGTCTCTCCCTCTGTGTGTGTGTGTGTGTCTGTCTCTCTCCCTCTGTGTGTATGTGTCTGTCTGTCTGTCTCTGTGTGTCTGTCTCTCCCTCTCTGTGTGTGTCTGTCTCTCTGTGTGTGTGTGTGTGTGTCTGTCTCTCTCCCTCTGTGTGTGTGTGTCTGTCTCTCCCTCTGTGTGTGTGTGTGCATGTGTCTGTCTCTCTCCCGCTGTGTGTGTCTGTCTCTGTGTGTGTGTGTCTGTCTCTCTCCCTCTGTGTTTGTGTGTGTGCATGTGTCTGTCTGTCTCCCTCTCTCTCCCTCTGTGTGTGTCTGTCTGTGTCTCCCTCTGTGTGTGTCTGTCTCTCTCCCTCTGTGTGTGTCTCTCTCTCCCTCTGTGTGTGTGTGTCTGTCTGTGTCTCCCTCTCTGTGTGTGTCTGTCTGTCTCTCTGTGTGTGTGTGTGTCTCTCTCTCCCTCTGTGTGTGTGTGTCTGTCTGTCTGTCTCCCTCTGTGTGTGTGTGTGTGTCTGTCTGTGTCTCCCTCTGTGTGTGTGTCTATCTGTCTCTCTCCCTCTGTGTGTGTCTCTCCCTCTGTGTGTGTCTGTCTGTCTGTCTCCCTCTCTCTGTAACTCTACCTTTTGGGACTTGTGATCCAGACCCTCTTTTCTCACAAGGGTGATCCTGGCTCAGCAAGTCAGGCAACTCTGTATTTAAATATTTACAGCTTTCAAACATGAAAGAGCCTTTTTAAAGAAAATTTATTTATTTATTCATTTGAGAGGCAGAGAAACATACAGAGAGACAGAAAGCCCCCACCCCTGGTTCACAACTCAGATGCATGCACTGGCCAGGGCTGGGAGCCGGGAACTCCATCCAGGTCTCCCACGTGGGTGGCAGGGACCCAACCACTTGAGCCATCACTGCTGCCTCGCATCTTGTGCGCCAGCAGGAAGCTGCAGTCAGGAGCCTGGACTTGAACCCAGGCAGTCCAACTTCCACTTAACTGCTGGCCGAATCCTAACTGCACCGTCTTTCCCGGACACTCGATCCACCCACCTTTGAAGCCAGATGCCCTGATTGCCTGCTGGGGTCTCCGTGACTATGTGAACATTCAGGAGGTCGTGGTGAGCGCCAGTGGATCAACTGCCCTTCTACAAGTGACCAAGGTTAGGCCGGCACCGCGGCTCACTAGGCTAATCCTCCACCTAGCGGTGCTTGCACACCGGGATCTAGTCCTGGTCCGGACTGGTGCCGGATTCTGTCCCGGTTGCCCCCTTTCTAGGCCAGCTCTCTGCTATGGCCAGGGAGTGCAGTGGAGGATGGCCCAAGTGCTTGGGCCCTGCACCCCATGGGAGACCAGGAGAAGTACCTGGCTCCTGGCTTCGGATCAGCGCAGTATGCCGGCCGCGGCAGCCATTGGAGGGTGAACCAACGGCAAAAGGAAGATCTTTCTCTCTGTCTCTGTCTCTCACTGTCCACTCTGCCTGTCAAAAAAAAAAAAAAAAAAACACACACACACACACACAACAAGTGACCAAGGTTAACTCTCCAGCAATGACCTCATTAGACCAGGGGCCAGGCATGGACTAAAACTTGCTGGTTAAATCTCTCCTATGTATTTAAGCCTGATACAGGGAACGAATTTTTTTCTAAGGTTTTTTTTTTTTTTTTTGGACAGGCAGTGTTAGACAGTGTGAGAGAGAGACAGAGACAGAGAGAAAGGTCTTCCTTTTCCATTGGTTCACTCCCCACATGGCCGCTGGAGCCAGGTGCTTCCTCCTGGTCTCCCGTGCAGGTGCAGGGCCCAAGGGCTCGGGCCATCCTCCACTGCCTTCCCGGGCCACAGCAGAGAGCTGGACTGGAAGAGGAGCAACCGGGACAGAATCCAACGCCCCAACCAGGACTAGAACCCAGGGTGCCAGCGCCGCAGGCAGAGGATTAGCCTAGTGAGCTATGGCGCCGGCCATTTTTCTAAGGTTTATTTATTTAAAAGGCAGAACATCAGAGAGAGGGAGAAAAGAAGAGGGATCAATCAGAGATAGATAGAGATCTTCCATCCACTGTTTTACTCCCCAGATGGCCACAACAGCCAGAGCTGGGTCAAGCTGAAGCCAGGAGCGAGGAACTACATTAGGGTCTCCCACACGGGTGGCAGGGCCCAAACACTTGGGCCATCACCCCCTGCTTTCCCAAGTGCATTAGCAGGAAGCTGGATCACAAGCCAAGAAGCCAGGACTCGAATAAGTGCTCTGTTACAGGAGGCCATTGTCACAAGCAGTGGCTTCACCTGCTGCACCACAGCACCTGTCCCAAGGACATGTTATTGACCGCGACTCAGAATGCAAGGTACAACGTTAACTTTTATATAGATAACATACAATAAGCGATTCGAAAGGGGAAAGTAAAGGCTTCTTTTCTCTGAGTATGTTCTCAGTGGTGGGCCTAGGGTGCAGATGTAAATTAAATGGAGAGGTGTGATATTTTAAAATACAAACTTGTTATTGGTATGTCCTTGGGAGGGGAGGAAGTGGTGAGGTGATTCTGACCACCGTCTTTCTTTAGTTAACCATGGTGTCAGAGGAGGATTTCCCAGGCTCAGCACTCAGCACTGTGGGCCTCGAGGACTGAGGACTCCCTGGTGTGGGGAGGGAGCTAGCCTGTGTCGCAGGATGACTGGCACCAATGCCCCCGTGCCTTGCTCCCAGAGGTGATAACAGAAGTCCCTCCCTCTAGACATTGCAAACCCTGGGGGGAGCATTGCCAGACAAATTATAATATATGGGACATAGTTCTATAAAAAAGTTTGCATTGTTTATCTGAAATCCAATGTTAACTGAATTTAACCAGTATTTCTATTTGCTAAATCTGGCAGTCCTACCTAGAAGGCCAAATTGTGCCACATCACAGCAAGGCTGGACACAGTTTATGAAGTCCGTAGATAAAAATACAACTAAGGGTTGGCGCCGCAGCTCAATAGGCTAATCCTCCACCTTGCGGCACCGGCACCCCGGGTTCTAGTCCCGGTCAGGGCGCCAGATGCTGTCCCAGTTGCCCCTCTTCCAGGCCTGCTCTCTTCTATGGCCAGGGAGTGCAGTGGAGGATGGCCCAAGTGCTTGGGCCCTGCACCCCATGGGAGACCAGGAGAAGCACCTGGCTCCTGCCTTCGGATCAGCGCAGTGCGCCGGCCGCAGCACGCCGACTGCGGCAGCCATTGGAGGGTGAACCAACGGCAAAAGGAAGACCTTTCTCTCTGTCTCTCTCTCTCTCTCACTGTCCACTCTGCCTATCAAAAAAAAAAAAAATACAACTAAGTACAACCTAGCACCAACACACTAATGACGCGTTTTTATTTTTTTTTTTAATTGGTACATTTGTTAAAAATAAATAGAGTAATGGTCCAGGGCTTAAAATGTCACCGTGCTGAGTGCTGACTTCTGTAACATAACTAAATGTAGGGGACTCCTAGAAATACACTCAAGACAGCAATAAAAAGGTAAACAGAAATGATTGATAAGACAGGGCTCTTTCGCTACGGCCTTGTATGGAACACTGGCTCCACAGTGGATCTGGGCGTTCTTGACCTTGACAGCGACATTCACAGAGGCTGGGCTGTCTGTCACAGGCAACTGGCACCCAAGGGCCACAAGCCTCCTCATGCTTCCTAAATAGTTTTCTATTGTATGCATTTGCAGAAGGAGTAGAAATGGTAACCAGGTGCTTCACCGTATGCATCCAAGTGTGATGCCTCATCTTTGCACATGGTCCAATTTCTTGAAAAATAAAAGGATGGGTGCCAGCGCCGTGGCTCACTAGGCTAATCCTCCGCCTGTGGCGCTGGCACACTGGGTTCTAGTCCCGGTTGGGGCACCAGATTCTGCCCCGGTTGCTCCTCTTCCAGCCCAGCTCTCTGCTGTGGCCCGGGAGTGCAGTGGAGGATGGCCCAGGTGCTTGTGCCCTGCACCTGCACGGGAGACCAGGAGAAGCACCTGGCTCCTGGCTTCAGATCAGTGAAGCGCGCAGGCCATAGTGGCCATTTGGGGGGTGAACCAACGGCAAAAGGAAGACCTTTCTCTCTGTATCTCTCTCTCTCACTGTCCACTCTGCCTGTCAAAAAGAAAAAAAGGAAAGGAAAGGAATGGGGGGGGAGGGGAGGGGAGGGGAGGGGAGGGGAGGGGAGGGGAGGGAAGGGAAGGGAAGGGAAGGGAAGGGAAGGGAAGGGAAGGGAAGGGAAGGGAAGGGAAGGGAAGGGAAGGGAAGGGAAGGGAAGGGAAGGGAAGGGAAGGATGGGGCCAGCTCTGTGGCGTAGCCAGTAAAGCCGCCGCCTGCAGTGTCGCCATTCTATGTGGGCACTGGATTCTGTCCCAGCTGCTCCAATTCTGATCCAGCTCTCTGCTATGGCCTGGGAAAGCAGTAGAGGATGGGACAAGTCCTTGGGCCCTTGCACCCGTGTGGGAGACCCAGAAGAAGCTCCTGGCTTTGGATTGGTGCAGCTGCGGCCATGTGGGGAGTGAACCAGCAAATGGAAGAACTCTCTTTCTCTCTCTCTCTCTTTCTGCCTCTCTGTAACTCTGCCTTTCAAATAAATAACATAAATCTTTAAAAAGAAAAAAAGAAAAGGAGTGACTCACGGCAGGACCACGTGGGTGAGGAAGTTCTGAATGGAGGATCTCACATTCTCGTGCGTCTTCCGTTGCGTCTCCTGCGGGTCCGGCTGTGGGATCCCGCCTCACTGGCCTCCAGCCACAGCACTGCACTCCCTCCTGCTCTGAAAGACACGTTTTAGATACATAGGTAATAAAAAGATATTACTTAAAAAAAAGAGATTTATTTGAAAGGTAGAGTTACAGAGAGGTGGAGGCAGAGACAGAGAGAGATCTTCCACTTACTGGTTCACCCCCCAAACAGCCTCAGTGCCCAGAGCTGTGCCGATCTGAAGCCAGGAGCCAGGAGCTTCCTCCAGGTCTCCCAGGGGCCAAAGGACCTGGGCCTGCTTTCCCAGGCCACAGCAGAGAGCTGGATCAGAAGTGGGGCAGCTGGGACTCGAACCAGCACCCATATGTGATGTTGGAACTGCAGGTGATGGCTTTACCCACTATGTCACAGTGGCAGCCCCCCCCCCAAATACTTTAAAGAAACAATCAGACAAATGCCCTAAACAGCACTTTGACCCCAGAATCTGCCCTTAAGTTATTCAGATTTGGCTTAAATGCCCATGAGAGCATTTCAGGCATGGAAAGCCGAGACACTGTGGCAAAAAATGACCTACAGGAAGGATCCCTGTGAGTGTGACCCCAGTAGAAAGAAGGGGCCATCAAAGAAGGAGGTACCTTTCTCTGGAGGGAGGAGAGAACTTCCACTTTGGTTATGGCCTTGTCTAAATATTATTGGAGTTTGAGGACTCAAAAGGCTTCCATAGCCTTAGCAGCTCATGACAAGAGCCTCGGGTAATCACTGACATCATAAATAAGAGTGTCAATTGTTAAATCAACAACAGCAGTCACTGTGCACTTACTCCCCATGTAGGATCTCTGTCCTTAATGAGTTGTACCTTGAGAATTAACGGTATAACTAGTCTTCAAACAGTACTTTATACTTTGTGTGTGTCTGTGTGGGTGCAAACTGTTGAAATCTTTACTTAGTATATACCAAGTTGATCTTCTGTATATAAAGGTAATTGAAAATGAATCTTAATGAAGAATGGGATAGGAGAGGGAGAAGGAGATGGGACGGAGTTGGGGTAGGAAGATGGGTGGGTGGAAGAATCAATATATTCTTAAAGCTGTACCTATGAAATTTGTATTCATTAAATAAAAGCTTTCTAAAAAAAAAACAATCAGAGAGAAATTGTTTGAGCAATAGAAACACAGAAATGTCACCAGCGCTTTTGAAATAATATGCACAAGGCTATTTCAAAGAGTTTATGGAAAAATGGAATTAAAAATCATTTCATTTTGGTGCAAAATATTTTGAAATTTATGCATAGTTTTACATAATACATGCTTTCAGTGACCTTTTTGAAGTTCCCTCATATGCATAGATTTCTAAACATTTTTGCATCAAAATAAAATTTATTTTAAAAAGTTGAGAGAGGAGAGACAATGGACAGTCAGCCCCCATCCACTGCTTCATACCCCGGATGCCCACAATAGCTGAGGCTGGGCCAGCTGCTTGAGCCATGACCTCTTCCTCGGGGAGTCTGTTAGCACAGAGCTGTGCCAGGAGCTGGCGCCAGGAATCTAGCTCAGGCCTTCCAGCGTGGGACGCGATGTCTCCACTGGCAGGCTGACCGCTCCCCACGTCTCCCGTGGAGCGAGCACTTCTCTGCCCTTCCTCAAGGACCCTCGGAGGTTCTGTGAAGACAAGGGTCTCCGTTTTGCTCACTGGTATTTCTCGCCTGCCGTGAACGGTGCCTGGCACATAGTGCCTACACAGTAAATGGTTCTTGACTGAATGACTGAAAGTGTGGGTAGCGTGACATGTGGAAGGGAACGTCCATGTGGTCTATACCCCACAGGATTCCTATAACGTTTAAATGGATTCGTATTTGCTGAAAGCTACCTGGCATGTGGTGAGCCCTAGATAAATAGTTACTAAATGAAAAAGTTAAAAAGTAAAGTCACTGAGGTAGACTAAATATGACATTGCCAAATACCCTGTAGTGAGCATTTTCAGGCAGAACAACTACCTTGGGAGTTCCTGCAGCCTGTGATTCTGTTCCGCGACCTTCCTACACTCGCAATGGCAGGTACAGCCAAGGAATTCAAAGCACTGATTATACATAACCATTAAGTAGAATGACATTATAATAGTTTAAAACGTTATGGGGACAGCATTGTGTCATAGCAAGTAAGGCCATTGCCTGTGACTCCAGCATCCCACGTGGGTGCCAGTTCAAGTCCCAGCCACTCCACTTCTGATCCAGCTTGGGGCTAACATGCCTGGGAAAGCAGCAGAAGATGGCCCAAATGCTTGGGCCCCTGCACCCACGTTGGAGACCCGGAAGAAGCTCCTGGCTCCTGGCTTTGATCTAGCCCATCCCCAGCCATTGCGGCCATTTGGGGGTTGAACCAGCAGATGGAAGCTCTCTCTTTCTCTGTCTCTCCCTCTCTTTGTAACTCTGCCTTTCAAATAAATAAAACAGAAGAAAAGAAAAGAAAAGAAATACTTCAAACTATCTACCCTAGGGAAATTATCACATATAATCATAATGACATATCTGAGAGGTAAAAAAAAAAAGCGATACTATTTCCAAATCGTTAATTATGAGCACATAACTAGCATAAGCAACAATGTGCACGTTTTTAGCCAATGGAAACAGAGCAAGGATTAGCAGAGTGTGATCTGTGGTCTTGACTTATCCACAGGTCCCCGCCCTGAGGACCATGGCAGCTTTGGCAGGAGGAAATATAACACACAGACCACGAGACTCTAAGAACACAAGGGTGTCCAAAGGGAGAAAGACCATGAAAGAGATGATTAAGGTCCTTTTCCAAGGGAGAGAGCATAGCATGAAACAGTGGACCTGGGCGTGGTCTCGAGTCAGACCGAGGACTTCACACTCCAGCTCACCACTACGAGGCTGTGCGACCTGGGTCACGCGACTTACTGTGTGCCTGCAGCAGGAAATGGAGCAGGTGTGTAATGCATTCTTATCATTTCCTCCCATCTCCTCTTTGCTTTCTCCTCCCCCTGGACGGCCCTAGCTTTGCATCTCCCAAAGAGCGTCAGCCTTGATCTGCGCCTCTGACTGGTTTCTAGGATAGAGTAAGTACAGCTGAGGACAATGAGGAGGAGGAGGGCAGAGACAGAGAGAGCGTAGTTCTCTGTGCTTCGGTTTCCTTATCTGAGGGTGGGCATTTAGCTGAGTGGTTAACACACCTGCACCCCGCATCAGAGTACCTGGGTTCGATACCTGGCACCAGCTCCTCCCTCCAGCTTCCCACAAAGGCAGACCCTGGGAGGCAGCAGTGATGGCTCAAGTAACTGGGTTCCTGCCTCCAACATGGGAGTCTGGATTGAATTCCAGCTTCAGGCTGGCCCAGCCTGGGGTTTTGTGGGCATTTGGAGGATGAACCAGAGGGTGGGAGTGCTCTCTCTCTCTCTCTCTCTCTCTCTATATATATATATATATATATATATCTTTCTCTGTCTCTCAAATGTGTGTGGGTACAGTGGTTAAGACATTGAAACATATGTATCTCATGTCAGAGGTCTGGGTACATTGAAGTCCCAGGCACAGTTCTAATTTTTTCATTTAAATATTTATTTGAAAGGCAGAGTGACAGACAGAAAGTGTAAGAGTGAGAGAGAGAGACCTTCCATTTGCTAGTTTACTCCCCAAATGGCTGCAACAAGCAGAGCTGGGCCAGGCTGAAGCCGGGAGTCAGGAACTCCATCCTGGTCTCCCACAAGCGCGGCAGGGGCCAAGTTCTTGGGACCCCTTCCATTGCCTTTCCAGATCAGCAGTAGCTGGATTGGACACACATGGGTGCTCGATTATGGGTGCCAGTGTTGCAGGCTGCAGCTCAGCCACAACACCAGGCCCCCAGGTGTGGCTTGATTCCAGCTTCCCACTGAGGCATCAGACGGTGGCTCACACACATGGGTCCCTGCCACCCTGGTGGAAACTCGGATTGAGCTCTAGGTTCTTGGCTTCAACCTGACCAAGCCCTGGCTTTTGTGAGCTGCTAGGGAGTGAACAAATGGATGGCAGATTCTCCCCTGTTGCTGTGGATTCGTTCTGAGAGGATTGCCATGGGGGCAAGAGGGGCGGAGTCACCACACAGACCCCGGGAGTTGTGTGGAAGCAGGCCAGAGGCGAGCAGCCTGCAGTCTCATTTATTTCAGTTGGTACAGCAGTTTATATAGACAAGGCAGCCAATCCAGCCAAGGGGCGGTCTGTGCCCGAACCAATCACAGCCTGTTGCTAGGCAGCTCCATTGCCAGGTGGTTTCCCAGGGGGTTTCCGAAGCCATTCCTGAGTAACTGATGCTCACTTGCCAGCAGCCATCGTAGCATGGCCTTCTCACTCCACCACACTCCCCTCCCCTTCAAATAAAAAACATGAATACAAATACATTAAATTATGTAATGGACATAAACTCTTAGAACCGTGCCCAGTCCAGGACAAGAACGGTATGACCTGGCAGCCCTTGTTTGCCCTCTGGACGGTGAAAGTGGCTGACTGACAGCATCTACCAGGATTCAGGCTCTGCTCCATTTTTCTAGAGTCAAGTTGCCATAAGAAATGTGTGCATGGCTCTTTCTGAAGGACGCAAACAGCGAGTGTGGCTTCACGTGTTCCCACACCTTTCTCATCTTCCAGGGGGTTCCCACGTGCCTTGGCTATGGCCCTACATTATTCCCAGCATCGACTTCCCTCTTCACAGCTTCTTTTCCTTACTCCAAACTGCCCTTCCCCACCCCACTCCTGCCCCTGTAAAGCTCGTGTGATTCCTTTGGGCCCATCGGGAGAACCCAGGCTTCGATCCCCATCTTTTTTTTTTTTTTTTTTTTTGACAGGCAGAGTGGACAGTGAGAGAGAGAGACAGAGAGAAAGGTCTTCCTTTGCCGTTGGTTCACCCTCCAATGGCCGCCGCGGCCGGCACGCTGCGGCCGGCGCACCGCGCTGATCCGATGGCAGGAGCCAGGAGCCAGGTGCTTCTCCTGGTCTCCCATGGGGTGCAGGGCCCAAGCACTTGGGCCATCCTCCACTGCACTCCCTGGCCACAGCAGAGGGCTGGCCTGGAAGAGGAGCAACCGGGACAGAATCCGGCGCCCCAACCGGGACTAGAACCCGGTGTGCCGGCGCCGCTAGGCGGAGGATTAGCCTGTTGAGCCGCGGCGCCGACCCAATCCCCATTTAAGATCCTTAATTGAGTTACACCTGTCAAATCCGTTTAGCCATGTAAGATAGCAATCGTAGGCTCCAAAGACAATGATGTGGACATCTGTGTATGTGAGATGGGGGAGAGGTATCATTATTTGCTTACCACACCAGGCGAGAAGTTTGTCTCACTTGTGGT